ATGATGATACCACTCCAAAATCTTCACAACAAACTCCTAGAATACAAAGGTCAAACAGGAATCATCTCCTTGCGTCACCGAAATTATAATTAACAGACATCTCAGCGCTCGCCAAACAGCCTACTGAGTATTCCGAGCAAACCAGTTCACACAAGTCCAATTTGTAGTGTAATCCATTCAGCAAACCACAGAATGACACTCCGAACATGCACATTTCGACTAATCATACCAATGTAAGCGAGCGCATAGAAAGCCATGACAGGAATCCCGACACCAAAGTAGCACATCGACAGTAATCCAACCTCACTCACTCAAAAGGCCCGATCAATCACACAACCTCCCGTCACCTCAAACAACAAAAGCACCGTTCCAACTTCGAGTCAACCAGTCCAACCCCGAGCTCTTACGACCACACGGCCGTAGTGGTACACACCTCAATCGCGTGGCCCGCTAGAACCCTAGATTCTCCCCGTACTCGGCACCGTGCAGCAGCACCTTCCAAGCTTTGACAGAAAACCTGTGACGGGTTTCAAAAGCCGAATCTGAAGTGCTCCAGCACTCACGTGAATACCACGGGCTCCGGCGACTGACCTAAGACTGTGAGTAAGACGCGGTGACCGGTAGCCACCGACATTGTTCGGAGATGGGCATGTGTGGATGGGAACGTACGGAATCTCGGTGTTGTTGCCACGTCCGACGCGTCTGTTCCTTCCGGAACAGACCATGACAGCAGTCTCGACCATATCAATACTATTTCGTACTTCGTACCGTAATTTCGACTTTGTGTGTATTTACGGTGAGGAGTGGTTCGTCTGGAGGTTGTGGTGACTACGCTCAACATTCATTGCCTACTGAAAGGTGTCGCCCTAATAAAAATTGTTAGAGACAAAATTTCAATCCAACTTGTTATTTTTTAATGATCATTTTTAGAAATTTTGAACATATCTTCTCTAATTTTTTCCAAAAATTGCCTCTTGAAATGGGCCTAGTAAATAAATAAAATAAATAAATAAAATAAATAAATAAAATAAAATAAATGGGAGACAACTCTATTCATGTCATGTAGGAAAAAGTAAAAATAAAAATAAAAAATAAAAAATCATCCTATCTCATATTTTTGTTTTAAGGCTTTAACATTGATTTCGCTAAGTTTAAAACCAATTAAAACTAATTAAAAGATTTTGAAAGTTGTGGCTTCTCACTTTGTATCCTATATAAAAAATCCACCTTAGAGGCAAGAGTTCCTATCTTTTATCAGGTAAATGCAATTGATTTTTGAACTAGGATAGTTTGATCAAATTTTTATTGGCCGAAGTATCTATCACTAAGAACATGATGAAGCAAAGATGATCACAGATTTTTTGAAGATTGTCTTAACTACAATAACATTGCAAGAGCTACCAATATTTTTTCAATTGAAAGATTATTCCTATTTTTAACATCTATTGTACAAATTCTAATTACTCATTGGTGAATTTTCACATTTCTTGTGAATTTTATTAGTGAAGTTGTAGTTTGGAAGACTTCATGTTGTGGTGATTTTTTTTTTTTTTTTTTTTTTTTTTTTTTTTTAATTTATTTGGCTTTAGTACATCATAATTTTTTTGTGCATATAACACCATCAAAAATCCTTGTGATTTCCTCCTTAATTCTTGTGATACTGTCCTAAAATCCCACACACATATGACACCACCCTAAATCTTTGTGATTCCATCAAGAATCTTTGTGCATATGAGTCCATCTTACAAATGTTTGGTACCATTATAAATCTTTGTGCAAGCATACTACGTATTAGATGTAATAGTTATCATTACATTTGACTAGAAGTATGTGATAAATATTCATGTTAATAGTTTTGTGAGTATGTAAATAATATGTAGAAAAAGATGACTATGTCTTTTATATACACAAATATTAGTTATATATATTCTGTTACTTTGTTAAAATAATTAGTATTTTTATGCTAAGCATACCAATGAATTAATCAAATAATATATTAAAAAATATATTTTTTCACATATTAATGATGATAAAATAATAAAATATTGAAATATTGAAATATTAATTATATATGCAATGAAAAAAATCTAAGTATATATATATATATATATATATATATACATATATATTAGTGAGGTGATAATGTAAATAATGTATTACTTTTTAATGTAATTTTTTGTAAGTTTTTAATAAATGCAATATCTTACAGATTACTTATAACAAAGAATCAATCTTTATTTCTTGATCTATTCCCTCTTATATGTTATATTTTTGCCAAGGTGGAAAACTCTTAAGATTTTTCACAATGAAATGATTTTGTGATAATGTCAAAAAGCCTATATTAAGTGTATTTGGGGAACATATTTATACTTCTGGAAAAAATATTTCAGCATTTATTTATCTAATCTAACGTCCAAAAGTAAATAAATTAAGTAGTTTGCAAGTTTTGTATTCTTTAAGTTATTCAAATGGATACTTATAGCATATTATTATTGAATGATTGTATTCTTCTTTGTATATTGATTTGTATTTAAATATGTGTTTTAAATTTTATTTTTTGAATGAAAAATAATTTAATTTTGTAACATATATACATATGTAATCATTGCTAATATTATTATAGACATACACACATATGTATATATACATATACATATACATAATATTTGATTTTATAATATAACTGAGTTCAAATTAACAACATATATATATATATATATATAGAGGATCTATTCAAGTCTATGTGTTTAATACTAAAAATTAAATTTAAGTTTTTATATTCAGTAGATGTATTTAATATAAAATAAAATATTTTAGAATAATAATAAAATATTATTTATAATAAAAATATACATACATATGATGGATCACAAGACCACACAACATTTAGTATATATACATATTGATTGCAAAATTTATCTAAATTTGTACCAATTAAATTAATTTTAATTTAAAAATGGCATTAAATTAAAAATATATCCCAAGAGTATAAAATTACAATCAAATAATTATATTATCAAGAAAGAGAACTTAAAAAACAATTTTTAGTGTGTTGGATGCATTGGATATTGTAAACACATAATGAAAATTATTTTTTGAAGATTAAAAAAAACTTAAGATGCACAAATTATTAATTAAGACCTAATACCAAGGAAATTCTTTTATTTCCTAATATGTTTCTTTCATTCATGCGCAGAAGCAAGTGAGAGAGCGAATCAAGTTTCCAGTCTTCGTTTGTAGAGCTCGGGAAGGGTGGAGCTGACTCTGGTGTTGTTGCAATAGCAACATCAGTCTAGTGGAGCTAAACTGCATCAAGATCTTGAGGCGCCAGTGGAGGCGCTTCTAGAAGCCCATCGAAGAGGAGCACATCGATCTGCAGGGGTCGGAAGGTTAGACTAGGTTGGAGAGGGAGAAATGGTGGAAGCGGATTGAGGTCCATTGTGACTGATGGATCAGCAGCGCCTGCAGTTCACGATTCCTGTGTAACTCTCCAACTGCAACTTAGTTCAAGTGCAAAACTACACTCTTTGAATATGCCCAAGTCACGCACAATGAAGTGGAACAGCAATGAGTAAACATGCACTCTAGGTAATGGCTTCAACTCATAAATATGCCCACCAGTGCAGTGCCATGCGAGTAGGCTGCAAAATCTATGAAGCTGTGAGGTCTGAAATGCACAGACATTCATGTTTGTATGTTCCAGGTCTTCACCGACTAGTAGAATTGCATTTGAATATTAGTACAGACTAGACATTCCGGGGCTATCGAAGTGGACCAGTTCTTGAGGAATAGAAACACTGCAACTGGGTCATTCAATTTGCTTTTTATGGAATTGGGTATCATTTTCTGGGGTTCTGTGCTGCCTTTCTTATGTTTTTTGTCTGAAGTTATGTGTGTTCTCTTTAATGTGTTATTTTCTAATTGTAAGCTTCTTTTATCCTCTTCCAGGTGCTCACAACTGCATAAATTTATGTAAGTCAATGATATCAATCTATCATAACGATCAATATTTTTTATTGAGCAACTATTGAATGTTTACACTTCTAGAATTGGTAACTTATTATTCTCATAAGAGATCTCAAGTGATTGGTGAAATTCTATCATCCATATCTACTTCAAGTTTGTTGTGCTGTAAGATTAAATTTTTATCTTAAATACATCATTTTAATTTCACAATTAATTTTTAATAAAAGATGTTGCCTGAACTTGTATGTATCTTCTCTAAAAGTATACATTTACCAAGATTTAAGCCCATTAAAAACTATAATCATCAATATAAAATATAAAATACAACTTCCTAGAAGGAGAAGAAGAAGATGATCGTAAATTTAGAAAAATATTCATTTAAGACATGAAGGGATGATCTCAAGAAAAAAAAAAATATTGTGTTTTGATGTTGTCGTATTGAATGAAGTTTGTTTGAGAATGCATTGGACACCTAGCTATAGAAGGAAAAATGAAAATTGCAATAAGATGATTCTAACAACTCTAATAGAATCTTAAATAAACTCTAATTAAATTCTAAAATACTAATTAATTTTTAATTAAATCTAAAAGAAGTCTCAATAACTTATAAAAGAAACATAAAAAAATCATTAATTAATCTTAATAAAATATTAATAAAAGTCTTTTTAAACCTTAATCAAATTTTAATATAATTTTAAAAAAATTCTAATAAAATTCTAAATCAATCCTAATCAAATCTTAAAATTTAATCCTATATCAAATCCTAATCAAATTCTAAACAAATATTAATCAAATCCTAATCAAATTCTACACAAATACCAATCAAATCTTATTCAAATTCTAAAAAAATACTAATCAGATTTTAATTAAATTTAAACAAATCCTAATCAAATTTTCATTAAATTTTAAACAAATCCTAATTAAATTCTAAACAAATTTTAAATCCTAATCCTAGACCAAATCCTAATAAAATTCTAAATTTTAATCAATTTTTAATCAAATCCTAATCTTAGATCAAACCCTAATAAAATCCTAAATTCTAATCAAATCCTAGACAAATCCTAAATCAAATCTTTAAAAAATCCTAACCAAGACCTAGATCTTAAACCATCCCTAATCAATTCTTAATCAAATCCTAAATTTTAAGTAAATTCTTAATATTCCTATAATAGATTGAAAATTCAATAATTAATACTTGAACAATTGATTTTGACTCAAAATTTGGAAACTTTGTACATCTAAGTTAGCAATAAGTATAAAAAATTTAAAAAATTTCACACATAACAAATAGATGATAATTATTAAACTCTGCTTCGATATCCACTAGCCTCCTTCTCTAATCTTGATGTTGGTATTCTTATAAATATACTAAAAAATTCACAAAATCTTCAAACTTGTAAACTTATTTTTATTTCTCAAAAT